ACTGGTATTTCCATTTGGAAAATGCTGTTTTGCTGCTGGAGTCCTCCTCAGTCTCCATCTCTCTGTGTATGCTATACGTTAACACCCGCCAGCGGAAACACGCACCTACCCTTCATTGTGCGACCTGAGTAACGTGCAGTAACGGGATGTCGGCAATGGTAACTGCATTATAGTTACAAAGCAATTAGTTAGATTACTCGTTACTAAAAAAAAAGCTTTACTAACGCCGTTACTCCCATCACTGGTTATGTATAAACTTTTGAAATTGAAAAGTCCTCCATAAAGAAAATGATCCATCAAGTTTAAGCAATAGTGGGAACAGAAGTGAATGTCTAACCTGTTTAGCTAGCCTTTTTAATGCATCCTCCTGTGTTCTTCTTTCTGGAGTTTCTGGACAGCTTCTTTCTCTTTCATCTTCTCCCCCCGTCTCTCCTTCTCTTCCAGGAGATTCATGTGAGATTGAATCAGATTCTCCATCTGCAATAAGAACAATGCAAGATTCAGCTCTGTCTGAGATTTCTTTTTAACAAATAGATAAGTCCCAAAAATCACACTTCCTGTGGATTCGATGACAGGAACACTAGAAACTACTGGTTAAGTTAATTTTGTCTCACAGACAGCAAAAAAGGTTTTAAACAGATTCCATGTTACAATGAAGCAGATTATTGCTTAGCAAGTCCTATAAAAATAACGGAATAAGTGGCAGAGTTTAAAAAATAAACAAATAAAATACTGTACAGTACAGTGTTTTTGCAAATATAAATACATCTAAAGAATAAATAAGCAATATACAGCTGTGGACATTTTTACAGTAGTGGATACGTGAAACTGTGAAAGTATCTACATCCATGTGGATAACATGGAAGTGAAAGCATCATGCTGTGGGGCAGGGAAGCTGGTTAAAGCTGTGAAGAAAGAAAAAAGCTAAATACAGAGAAATAATAAAAGAAAGCCTGCTATGCAATTCCACATGTACCATGGGTAACACAGATGCCAGAAATCACCCAATTTTCTTGATTCTTTTAATATTCCGAAAAAGTAAAAAAAAATAAAAATCCACTGGACTTAGTTTGAAGAT